AATTGCAAATCTTTGACATTTTATATTTATATCAATTTTTTTAGTTTCTCTTTTTTTTAAAAAAAATGTTTGAGATCAACAAACTATATTTTTGCAGGACAGACATGAATGCTTAATATTGTAGAACTGTGCATTAAGAACAATGAAAGTATGTAGCATTCATATGCTATGGGCATGAAGACAATTAATTGATAGAAATGTCAATCTTATGGTACTATCTTATGATACTAGCAAGCAGCACTTGCATCCTCGACAGAGAGTAAATCAGAACAGCCAATACAACTGTGCAGCATAAAGTCTACTGTTCAAAATTGGCTGCAGAGGTGGGTGGTGACATGTTTTTTTTTGTTTGTTTTTTTAATGTCCCTGTCTACCAACACATATTTAGCTGTTACAGCAATGCTGTTTATGGAGTCTATATTAAATGGAAAAAAAAATCTGTAATGTTATTGCAGTGCAATGTTATTAAAAGCATGTGCAATGTACTTCTCCCCATGTTAACAGAGCTTAAATACTTCTCAACTGTCCCAAGTTCACCTGGACCATCTAAAATGTTTGGTCCTGTCTTACCATCTCATGCTTATCCTAGATGCAAAACACCAGGGAAATGTCTGTAATCAGTGTAGCACAAGTGTTTGATTAGAAATGCTTATGGAGCACGCAGTAAATTCAGGTTGCCCACCCAACCCTCTGTCCCGGACCCATTGTTAGGAGGTAAACCATTAGATGGATGACAGACAGCACAATATAGTGTGCAGTTTTTATTACACATCTGCAAAATATGGATTCTCGGTTCAATATTTAATACAAGTATGTACTACTTTATATGGGACTCTAGTTTGTATTAAATAATATACATTTACCTGGGGTTTGTGACAAAAGTGAAAGACCATCTTCTTTGTGAGCATTTTGAAGCAAACCATGCATAGTAGATTCAGTGTCTTACATCAACAAATGTAAAACAAGAGGCATCATTCCATGGTGACTGCAAAACAATATGACTGCTACATATAAAGTTAAGTACCCACTCTCAAATTCAGTGTAGAGTTCTAAGTTAAGCTTGCACGGTCCTGAATTACCCACAATGCCTAATAGTTATTCCAGGCCTGGGTCCATATTATGAAGAATGCATATGTGTTACGTGCAATCTATCTACGTTAACCTGAAAATAGTCTAATAGCCCAAATTTGAACCTGAAAGACAGTTCAGAATAAGTAAGAGTAAGTTTACAGCCTTGGTCTTTTGAGACTTACTTGAAATTAATTTCTTTTTCATTCTTGGAAGGTTGCTCTACATGCAAGGAAGAAGCATGTAAAAAATATATATGTATTATTTATTTCGCACTTCCTTACAAATGAGCACTTTACAACTCATTATAATTAATCACTCTCTGCTCTAGTCCTCAGATGAATCATTTAAGTGGCTCCTCTGGGGTACAAATTCATCTTATTTGTGTTTCAATTTTTTCTCTTTTAAAATGTTCTCTATATTTTTATTAAAATGAATATATTAATCCTGCAAATACATAATTTATTTAAGTAAGTAGTGTGTCTGTGTAATGATAAATATATATATATATATATATATATATATATAATTAAAAGATATTTGGACATAAAAAACTTTAATAAAAAACATTATTTCTTCTGTGATGAAATGCATGTGTTACAAATATTTCACATCAGTCTGACACACAGACGAATTTAGCTAAATTAAATTATTCACAATTATTCCGGTAGTCTGGAATACAGCTGAATATTGCTGTAATGTGTTTATAAAGAGCCTGTGCCAAAGTTACAATAAGTACCACATTAAGACATTACATTACAAAGATTTTCCTTTTTATTTCAGTTGGAGAGAGGTGTTTTCATCATAGGAAGGACGGATGCTTTGCTCATATGACAAGAAAAACAGTTAAAGGGAGTTTCCAAACACTTGCTAAACTGCTGCTATAAATGAGCCTACAGTTAAACTTTTTTTTCTGTATCAATAGTACTCTTCAGTTGCATAAATCTAACAAAAAATTTTAATAAAATCTGATCGCTTAGATTTTATCAGATCTTTGAAGAATGAAAAAGTAACTTAAAGTCTTTGACTTTCATTTTTTTTAGATTCAGCTTTTGAAAGGAAGTTTATAAGCCGTAAAATTGGTTTTAATTCCACATGAAAACCTGTTAAATAAAATTTCCTTTCATGCAGTGCATGTTAATTGTGGTCAGTTTGTCCTGTTTTGATTTGAGCATTCCCAATATTATGCTGAAGAAAAATAAAATCCTTTTACGGACTAAGGTACAGTTATAGCCATATAAGTAGTTATATATAAAATGTATTCTAATGATATACAGGAAAATACATTAGACATATTTAATATTAAACTATAAGCATGAAACAGCTGGGTGACTGCATAACAAATATGTACATGCCCTGTATCATGGCACCAAGGCAATATGATTGGACGGAACTGTTGTTTTGTTGTTGAGGTTCTGGTGAACATTGGCGAACACAACAAATTACATTAACCCCTTAAGGGCCGAGGACGGTTCAGGACCGTCATCGGCATTTTTGCGTTGCCGACCGATGACGGTCCTGAACCGTCCTAACGGTCTGGGGGTACTTACCTGATCGCCGTCGTTCCCCCGGCGGCGATCAGCGTGGCTCCGGTTGTGGGGAGACTGTCTGCAGCCCAGACAGTCTCCCCACGGCAGATTAGGACCCCTGTGGCCATGTGATCGCTTAACACAGCGATCACATGGTCACAATAGGTGCCCATAGTGCTGCCTGCAGGGGGACTGTCTGTGCTGACAGGCAGTCTCCCTGCTAGTGTAAAATCATAAAAAAAAATAAAGTTAATGTTAATTAAAAAATAAATAATTAATTATATATGTGTATATATGATATATAGACATATATTATATCTATATAATATATGTCTACATATCATATATATATAATGTCATACTAAGTGTATTTTTATATTAATATGTACTTATATTAATATAAAAATACACTTATAATTAAATTACACACGTATATATATATAATATATATAATAACTATATATATTATATATATATATTATTATAAAATATAAATAATAAGTAATTTAAATTAAATAATTTTTTTTTTAAATAATAATAAAAAAATTTAAAAAAATTATATAGCTATATGAAATTTTATTCTAACTGTATTTTAAAATTAATATATATATATTCATATCAAAATACACTTAGAATGAATTTGTATATATATCTATGTATATAAAAATAAATAAAAATAATAAAAATATACATATGTCCATATACAAAATTACATAAATAATTATATAAATATACACGTAGACTTCAAATATATAAATATGCATATATATTTAAATTCTACGTGCGTATTTATGTAATATTTTTACATAATTCAGTAATTTTATTGATTGCAATTTGAGGGACCTGCCTGCCAACCCAGGCCGAAATTCCAGAGAATTTAATTTGCTAGCACTATATTTTACCCTGTAACGTTCTACGACACCCTAAAACCTGTACATGGGGGTACTGTTTTACTCGGGAGACTTCGCTGAACACAAATATTAGTGATTCAAAACAGTAAAACATATCACAGCGATGATATTGTCAGTGAAAGTTACTTTTTTGGCATTTTTCACACACAAACAGCACTTTTACTGATGATATAATTGTTGTGATACGTTTTCCAGTTTTTTAAACACTAATATTTGTGTTCAGCGATGTCTCCCGAGTAAAACAGTACCCCCCATGTACAGGTTTTATAGCATTTTTGAAAGTTACAAGGTCAAATATATGGGTCAAATATTTTTACATTGAAAATGGCCAGGTTGGTTACGTTGCCTTTGGCCAGTGTTTTCGACTAAGTGGCTACTAAAAAAGACTGGACATACCCCATATTGAATACCCTGAGTTGTCTACTTTAAAAAAAATATGTACATGTGGGGTGTTATTCAGAGATTTATGACAGATAATAGTGTTACAATGTCACTATTGATAAATTTAAAAAATGTATGTT